CAAAACCCCAAAACCCCAAAACCCCAAAACCCCAAAACCCCTTCCATTAATTTCAAGATTGAAACAGAAAATTAAAATATTAAAATGAGCCAAACCAAGTACAAGTAAGACTCACTACCCTCTATAATTGAGGGACACGGAAGACTCTTTGAATGTCTTAGTAACATCCTCAGCCTACTTATACCAAATTTAGATTTCTAAAAGGCAAGAAGATCAACTTCGAAGTGTTAAAACAGTACTTAAAAAGGTAAATACTTCCTTTATGGTGTCTATCAAAACCTTAATCTGATAATTATTTAGAAATTCACAGAAGTCACAATCAACTGAAGGGAGGAAAGCCCAGACTGATAAATACATTAAACTTGCAGAAGAGATTCGGCATAGATCTGAGTCAAGGAAATAAGATGGACTATACCAGTTCTTTCTACCAATCAATCTCAAAATTTAAGAAAATTTATCCCAGGAATAAGCTTGACTATATCAGGTAAGGATTTTAGACCATGACCATAGGATGAACTTCCTCACTGAGGCAAAGATGCATGAGACTTCTCACTATAAGATGTATGGGACTTTAAATAAAAGTGTGGATTCATCAGACACAAACCGTCTTTTTAACAACTTCATTTCAGGAAGCTCAACAATTAATGTAAATCAGGCACAGGGGATTCCTAGTGTGATCTCTGAACAACAGAGGGAAGGGCTTGATAGGAAGAGGAAGATTGATATAAAATAAGCTTAACTTATCCACATGAAATTCACGTTACAGGGCAAGCTCATCTTTTCCTATGAAACCCTTAGTAAGCTGGGTTAGGTTTAATCATGAATGTAGAAAGTTAAAATAAAGAGCATAACGAGCAATTATCTTCACAACTCCCGTCATAGAAAATTTGAAAGATTTGGAAGTCTTAAATCAAAAAGTGGTGAGAGGAAGTACAGGTTCTTCAGACTAAAGACGATTGAAGGAAAGACTCCTTCAAGGGTAAGTAAAAATCTGTAGCTAATATCTATATCAATATTTACTAATAATAGAGGGGTTTTGGGGTTTTGGGGTTTTGGGGTTTTGGGG